TTTTTGCTGCCAACATTTCCAATGTGGGCTGGGAGGGGAAAAAAAAAAAAAAAAACATATATAGTACATCTCTGCAATACATCTCTATGTTTTATCCCTTTAAAGACCCTGAAAGTATAGAAATATATATTCTCATCTTCCAGAAATGCTTTCAGATCCTGTGTCCATCCTGCTCAGATTTTTCCACAACATAGATACAATTAATTCTGTAATTCGAAAATAAGAACTAGGAGGGCTACATCATCTATATACTGAATATATTTTTGTAATACATTTTAATAATAACATTTATATATTATATAATATGGTAATATAACTTTTCTTTTACTCTTTAACAATCTACTGATGGAAATCCAATTACTAACTATGAGGCAACACAAGACCTTGTTCTCAGACTCTTTGACACAGATGCTCATTGTGTTGGTATTTTTCTTCCTGCAGACAGTGAAAACTGCATGAAATGTTCTGATGAAGAATGGCCAAATGAGAAGAAGGATCAGTGTGTTCCAAAATTGGTGGAGCTTCTCTCCTACACTGATGATACAATTGTTGCAGTATTTTCAGCTGTTTCCATCCTCTGTTGTCTTCTGACTGGTGTAATATTGGGGATGTTTATACATTACCAGGACACACCCATTGTTAAAAAGTTAACAAACTGAACCTGAGCTATGTTCTCCTGGTCTCCATCATGCTGAGCTTCCTCTGTGTCTTCTTGTTCCTTGGCCATCCAGTAGATGTAACCTGCATGATGCGTGTAATCTCTTTTGGTGTCATCTTCTCAGTTGCCATCTCTTCTCTACTTGCCAAAAGTATCATGGTGTGTATTGCTTTTAAAGCCACCAAACCTGGGAGTTCCTGGAGGAAATGGATGGGAATCACATTGCCGAATTCCATCATGTCTGTGTTGTCAATGGTGCAAGTTATAATATGTGTCACATGGTTGTCTATATCTCCTCCCTTCCAGGATCAAGACACTCACTCTTATCAGGGAAAGATCATCATTCATTGTAATGAGGGTTCAGTTATTGGCTTCTACTCTGTCCTGGGATATATGGTGCTTCTGGCAGCTGTGAGCTTCATTATAGCTTTTTTAGCCAGGACATTAGCGGACAGTTTTAATGAGGCCAAGTACATCACCTTCAGCATGCTGGTGTTCTGCAGTGTCTGGATTGCCATGATCCCAGCCTATCTGAGCACCAGAAGGAAATACATGGTGGCTGTGGAGATTTTTGCTATAATGGTCTCAAGTGCTGGACTTCTTGGCTGTATATTTTCCCCAAAATGTTACATAATTCTGTTCCGACCTGACCTGAATACAAAAACAGGTTTGCTTGAAAATAGAGCATATTTTTTTATTACTTATAATGACCTCTTTAAATAAAAATATAATCTATGATCACTAGAGATTGGTCTTTGCATAAAGATCCTTGGTTTTTGTTGTTCTGATGTTGAATTCCTTCTTGAGAATAAAGAGCAATCATTTTTTCACAACACAGTTGCCTGATTTTTGTAATCCATATCTATAGTACAATTCCTTCTTATTCTTGCTATAGTCCTTATCCATTTTGGGTGGTGACACCTGTTCAAGAGGATATAGACATTTCTGATGTTTAAATCCAGAAATTGTATCTCTCTTGTGTTATGTTTTTTAGTGACGCTAATTACATAATTATTATTATCAATTATTTTCCAAAAGCCCTTTAGTGTGGACAGGTGCCCTTTTCAAATCAATAATACATAATTAGTAAATATTTTCCATAGCATCAGGCCCTCCCACTTTTTACTAAAGATGGTTTCTTCCTCAGTGCCAACTTGGCACCCATAGCTACTCCCTTTCTTTTCAGATAAAATTTGTTCCCACTAAAAGTATTTTTTGTTATTATGGCATAATTGGTACATGCAAGAGAATCAAGTATATTCATGTATATTCATGCTGTATTGAAGGCAAAGGGTGGTCACACAACATATGGATTTGATTTGGAGTTTGCTTCTCTTCTTTACTTTTTATTTTGTTAATTGATCAAAATAAACTATTAACACATTTATTTCTGAAAGCATTCTTACTTTACATAATTTTTTCACATCTGCCTAAAACTTTTGCACAGTACTGTAAATTTTGAAGTTTTACCTTACTAAAAACTGAGAGTCTCTGCAAATTTGTACCACAACCATGAAGGAACCAGCAGCTCCTTGAGTTACTGCTGTTGATGGGCCCCTCGGGGTCCGAAGCAGACCCCCAACAGCAGATTAGGGGGTCACAGTTCTGTGATCGCAGCCAGAGCTGATCGCTGTGATTGCAAATCTGTGACAGTCACACAGCCGGCAGCAGTGTTTTGTAAACAGCTAGCCGGTCTGCATTTCCAAACTAATACAAAGTATCTCCGAATAGTACTATTCTACTTAGAGATACTAAATATCAAAGCCCATATAAATAAAAAATAACCCCTTAGTGCCCCTGGTTTAAAAAAAATAAAATGTAAAAATAAAGTTTTTAAAAATGTATGAAAAAAAGTCAAAATAAGTTTTAAAAAAACAAGTTTAACCTGCCGTCCGTCCGTTTTTTTACAACGGGCGGACGGCAAGAGGTTAATAAAAAAAATATAAGAAAATATAGTGCCGATGAAGCTATTAAAGATAGGAGACAAACCACATTCTAAAATTGTTCCATACTAAAAAATTTTTTTACTGTATTGCGACCTATAACTCCCAGAATAAACTGAAATTCCAGACATATGACATTCCCTATAAATCAGGGCAAATATAAGAACTTTTTATGAATTACTTTCTGTTATGTACACATTATTATTGCCAAAACTGTGAATTTTTTTTTAGAAAAAATAAGAATTGATATATGCATATGTTACATCAGCTTAAACCCCATATCGTCCTTTAAAAAATGGCATATAATATGTGGTGGTGCAATGAATAAGCAAAATGGAAATTATGGTTAAACAAACACAAATTAAGCTGTGTAACTAAGGGGTTAAAATTTTGTAGTTATGGTTTCTGTAAGTCCTCATTGTCTACAGGGCTGCTGAATAAGTGGGTGCCATATACAGTAATAATATTAGTAATGTACTGATAGAGAAAAGCTTGTAAGTTTAGAGTTTATATAATAATAGTGCTGGAATTATATGAAGGTAGTTGCAGTTTATCTTGGGATGAAGTCCTCGTAGATTCTATTTGTTTTATTTTACCTTTTCACTTCTCTAAAAGTAACATTCTCTGACATTAATATCCAGTCTATCAGTAATAAATACGAGCATCTTGTGTTCTCTGTCACATCTATTACCCGAGTCAGAACCCTCTGCATGTGTCAGGTATGAGGTGTCTGGAAGAAGAGATAGACTTCATTCAAACCTATCAGAGATATTGGCACATTCCTTTCACTATGCTGAAACACTTGTTTATGTTGGCTTTGTGTGTGACACCCTGCGAATGTGACACTCAGAACTCTGCTCACCGATGTGATCTCAGAACGATGAATTTTACATTTGAGTACAAATATTCCCAAGAAGGAGACGTCATCATAGGAGGAATATTTGCTGTTCACTCTTGGGTAACATGGTGGCACTATGATGGAAGTCAATTCTATGATCTCATGTGTTCAGCGTAAGTCAATATATCAAGTACAGAACTGTACATAAGATCTGAGACCACATATAATGCTTATTGTGGCATTAGAGAGGATTCACAGTACTCACGTCATCTGTTTAACTTGATATAAGATTTTACCAAAGAACACAAGTGGAAGTTAAAGCATATCTAAAACCTAAAGCAAAATGTTATATATTGCAGCTTACCATTCCTCAGATTTGGTTGCTGCATTTGTTTTCTTTTTTTAGGCTTTTTTTCCTATATTGTTACCTTGTGATCTGGACAGTAGGTTTGGTACTTTTCAACGTTCTTTAGCAGGCCAAGCTGTCCATCAAAAGATAATTGGAGAGATAGAGAGCTGAGACAAACCATTTAACACTGACAGGGGTGCTTACAATGGACAACGTTAACACATTTTATGTAAAACATTCCTTTACATTTATCAAAACTGGAGCAGACATAATCTGGAGCAGTTACCCATGGCAACCAATCAGCTTCTCTCTCCAATTTGTTCAGTTAAGATTTGAAAATTAAAGAGAGAAGCTGATTGGCTGACATGGACAGATCTTGTCTGCTCCAGTATTCATAAATCCCCCTCACTGTGTTTTTGGTAATAGTGAGCACAATGTTTCCCTTTGTTCAAATTTAAATATTGAACATTTTTATTTTAGTCACATTTTTAGACAGAATGTTGAATCTCTTGATTCCTTTTCTCACATTTTCCCATTTCTCCTTACCCCTTTTGAAAAAAGCCTGTTGTTTTTAATAATTAAAGCTGAAATTGACAAAGACAGGAGAATAAGTCAGAAGAGTGACTCCTCCACTTTTTGGTCCTTTCTCTTTCATGCTGCTCAATCTGTGGTTTCAATCAGACAGAAGGAGCCTAATGACAGGCAGCTCCTGCTGTGCTCTCTCTTTAGAAAACCCATAATGCATGGTAAAACACATTTTGAGTTTCTTTTTTCAGAGTTTACCAGAGAGAATACAGACATCTCCTGGCTTTTATCTTTGCTATTGATGAGATAAACAGCAGTCCAGATATTCTGCCCAATGTGACTCTGGGATATCATGTGTATGATTCTTGTGGAAATGTGAATAAAGCTACAAAAGATGTTCTGCAAATCTTGTTGGTAATAGTGAGCACAATGTTTCCCTTTGTTCAAATTTAAATATTGAACATTTTTATTTTAGTCACATTTTTAGACAGAATGTTGAATCTCTTGATTCCTTTTCTCACATTTTCCCATTTCTCCTTACCCCTTTTGAAAAAAGCCTGTTGTTTTTAATAATTAAAGCTGAAATTGACAAAGACAGGAGAATAAGTCAGAAGAGTGACTCCTCCACTTTTTGGTCCTTTCTCTTTCATGCTGCTCAATCTGTGGTTTCAATCAGACAGAAGGAGCCTAATGACAGGCAGCTCCTGCTGTGCTCTCTCTTTAGAAAACCCATAATGCATGGTAAAACACATTTTGAGTTTCTTTTTTCAGAGTTTACCAGAGAGAATACAGACATCTCCTGGCTTTTATCTTTGCTATTGATGAGATAAACAGCAGTCCAGATATTCTGCCCAATGTGACTCTGGGATATCATGTGTATGATTCTTGTGGAAATGTGAATAAAGCTACAAAAGATGTTCTGCAAATCTTGTCTGGACATTCCAAGACAGTTCCAAATTATTCCTGTATGGTACGGGGTACAGTGGCTGGTTTCATCGGAGACCTCGGATCAGATACAACTCTCCAAATGGCACAGCTTTTACATCTATATGGTTACACTCAGGTACGATAGTCTGACATTCCAAGCATTGCTAAGTATCTTTTGAATGTTGCATTTTTCTGAGAGCAGGAAATGTTTCGAGATTGTCACATCAAAGCTTACAGCTCTTCAGCAGGAGGGTTAAGTATTCGTTTGTTTCTTTGCAGTTATGGCATTATTAAAGACAATACAAGTGAGTGATTTCACTTATTGCTTCAAAAACCTTGTCTGTTTCAAGTGGTTGAAGTATATACAAATCGATTGTCATAGTCAGTTAAATGTTAAAATCGCGCTTACAATAGGAGCACATCCATTTATAAGACAACAGGAAGGAGGTAATGAAAAGAAATGTTGGTGACTCTGTTAGTAATTTTGTATCTCATTGCAGCAACCTCCAAAGCCAAAGATTGGGATGTTTTGATGGGCATAGCTGTAACTATTATGGTACAGAGCTTACCACTAGCCCCCCGAAAAAAAAAACATTATTAGTGGATAATCACTATGATGGTCTAACTCGCTGGCCAATAGTAATGCAGAAGTCAAGAAGGGGCTGGGCAAGATTCACAGGCTAACTGAAAGTGTTGAAGGTTTACCTATCAGAACAGTCTGGAATTTATTTGTTTGCTGGCACATAAAAGTGACCAGTCAATAATTTAAAGCTCTGTGTCAGTTTATTTTCTGCTCTCCGTGTGCTGTTGGAGATGTTTCCTTTGACTTTCTGTCCTAGAGATACAGCAAGAAGTGAAGAAGTGAAAGGAAATCTAATCAAAGTTTAACTTCAACTTCTAAAAGAAACCTGACAAAGGTTCCAACACTTTCTCACTCTATCCAACACTTGAATTGTTTTTAGAAGAGTAGGGAGAAGCTAGAACCCCTTTCAGATTTTTATTTCTGGTTGTGTCCCTGCTGCTGATTTGCCTTTACTTCCTGTCTGCTGAAACTGTTGTTATAAGGACAGGAAGTGAGGATGCATCTCTGTAACAGAACCCCAGAGAGCAGTAAAACACAACAGAAGTTCTAACCTTTCCCCACATAAATCCAAAACAAGAAAAAAGTTTGACATACACTTTAATTTAACAACTATTTGTTCTTTCTTTCTAGATTAGTTATGGAGCTAGAGATACTTTACTAAGTGACAGAAAGATGTTTCCAAACCTTTTCCGGACAGTTCCAGATAATGAGATGCAATATGTGGCCATAGTGAAGTTACTGAAAAGGTTGAAGTGGAACTGGGTTGGGATCATTACATCTGATGATGAATATGGAGAGAGGGAGATCCAACAACTCAGCAAACAGTTAACTAATCATGGAATTTGTATTGAATTTAGGATCATGGTATCTGTTGAGCATTATGATAAAATTCCTCCTGATCTTTGGACATCAACTACTGAAGTTCTTATTATTTGCGGCTCAATTAGCAGAACATATTACAAGTTTTTGTTCCATAGTGTTCCTTATCACATGGATAAAACATTTATCATTCCTGATTCTTGGTCAATGGACACAGAATTTTTTATTATCAGTAACTGCAGTTTGGTGTTTTCAAGTCTCGATCCCTCTATAGTGAAAATGGAGGAATATTTTGATAGTATTACCCCCTCAAGCCGCCCGGATGACCCAATACAGGATGATATTATCATAACTGAATACCGCTGCTTTTCAAGACATCCATGGAAGAACTTGATGATTCCAATCACACTTCACCGTCCTCTTCATAACTGCACTTTGGAAAGTTTAAAAAATGATTTATATTTTCCTGATGATAAAACTCCTTATAGAGTGTTTATTGCAGTCAATATATTGGCTCAAGCTTTGCATGACATATATCTCTCTTCACAAATAAAAGAAAGGGACGTTGAGGTGAGGTTAACCAGCCTTTTGAATAGGGTGAGTATATTCAACTTTATTAAAGGTACACTGTCCCTGTGCCCATTGAGAGAAAATTGTTTGTGCAAAGTGTTCTCCTAACCCTCATAAACTTACTTATGGAAGAAATCCACCTCATGTGGCTCCTTTCCTTTTGTTTAAATGCTAAAACATAAAAGACCATAATATACAGCTTCACCTTCTTAAAATAAAATATATGTACAGAAAATGTCACTACTTCTACCTCAAATCCATGAGGCTATTATCCTTTACCAATCAACAATTAATGGCGTGTTTTGTCAACAGACTTCATCAGCAGACCTTAACAAAGTCTTCTAATGCGTTTGTATTTTTCGGAACTGGTACAGGTCCCCCAGTATCCATAAATTTTATGGATTTCAATACATTCTAGGGAAGCCCCAAGAATACTACTTTGTAACCTTGTAGGGTGGTTCTTATGCAGGGTAGGGATCCCCCCATCCCCCAGAATTACAGACCCGAGGCTTGCTGATTGGCTGCTGAGACACTGAGCACTACATCATGAAAAAAGAAAATAAGTCCCATGCTTCTCAGTATCCAGAAGTGCCATTTATTTTGAGGTCTCTGGCATGGCAATGGATAGTTGAAAAATTTGCAAAGGATTTGGCAAACTATCAAGTGAACGTATTACTTTGCCACTAATTAATTAGAAAGTATTCAGCAATGATTGCAGTTACATGTTCTATATCCATCAGTACTACATGTATAGTATTCTTGATTCATTTATTGGTTTTGTATTGTTAAGGTGTCCCACCTTCTGTCCTCATTACACTACATGGATCCGTATAACAAGGAAATATATTTTAAAGAAAAAGGAGATCTTCCCAGCCCGCTGCAAATTGTAAATTGGATAACACAAGTTAAAAGCAAAAATGTCACATATTGGAGACGTGTGGGCTACTTTGATGGATCTCTTCCTGAAAATCAGCAACTTACTCTCATACCACAGTTGATATCATGGAAACGTGATCAGGTGACAGAAACTAAAGGAAGCCAATACTATGAGAATATATAACCTGTCATTGGTGACCCTTGCTTCTTTTCAAATCTGCAGGCCACAGTCTGTCATGTTTATCCAACATATTTAATGCTTTATTCGTTATTGAAATGGAAAAAATATGTAGATCAGGAGTTCTGATATTCTTCTGACTTCATGACCTACAAACGTTGTGTGGGTTGTTACCAAGAACGTGTTGAGGTAAAAAAAAAATAAAGAGCTACACTATATATAAGATGGAGGGGACTGCATTGGCATTCCAGAGCTACAAGGAATGTAATAAAAGATGTAAACATGAAATCCAGCCAGCTAAAATAGATTACAAAAAGCATATTGCCACAGTCTGTAAGAAGAACCCCCAAAAATTCTTCCAATATATAAACAGGTAAAAAAAGAGCAGGTTGGCCAAATAAAAGATGAGAATGGAAGATTAATCACAAATGAAAGGAAGAAAGCTGAGGAATTAAATTCATTGTTCTCCTCAGTATACAATTAAGAAAAGATGGGTTTAATGGAGATAAGAATGTGAGTAGCTCAGTGCGTAGGATACTGCAGTGGCTCTTTGTAGCTGGGGTTCAACAAAGACTAGACAAACTTAATGCAATTAATTCATTAGGACAAGATAACCTTCACCCCAGGGTACTTAACGAGCTCAGTCAGGTTATAGGGAGACCAATATTCCTCATTTTCAAGGACTCCATAATGACTGGAAGGGTACCAAGTGATTGGCTAAAAGCTACATTAGTGACACAATTAAAAAAATGTTTAAGATGACAACCGGGTAACTACAGATCAGTCAGTCTAACATAAATAGTATGCAAACTGTTTGAAGGAAGGATAAATGACTATTTAGTGGACTTTGTTCATGACAATGGTATTATAAATGATATGTAGCACGGATTTATGAAGGACCTTTCTTGTCAGATCAACCTACTAAAATTCTATGAAGAGCTGATAGATCGTAATAGAGGAAGGCCAGAGGATGTGGTGTACCGGGATTTTGCAAAAGCTTTGACACGGTACCACATAAACGCTTAGTACACAAGCTGAGATCTATAGGCATAGATGAAAGGGTGTGTACATGGATAGAGAACTGGCTACAGGAACGTGTCCAGAGAGTATTGATAAATAGTTTTGCTTCACATTGGTCTAAGGTAAAGAGTGCCGTGCCTGGGGTTCTGTGCTAGGCCCAATGCTGTTTACCCTGTTTATTAATTATATTGGGGAGGGTTTTATTAGCCATGATTCTGTGATTGCAGATTATACTAAAATCGGGAGGATCATAGACACGGACTTAGACATTATAACATTACAGGAAGAACTGGATAAAATAGGGGAGAGGGCAACTATATGGCAAAAATGTAATACCTTGGGATTAAAATAGGCAAGCGGAATACACATGAATGGGAACTCCACTAGGGAAGTCAGAAATGGAAAAAAATTTGGTGGTGATAGTAGACCGTAGATTGAACAATAGCTTACATTGCCAGGCTGCGGCAATCAAAGCGAACAGAGTACTGTCTTGTATTAAAAAGAGAATGTACTGTAGAGACAAAGCTATAATTTTGACATTTTATAGATCGTTGATTAGGCCTCATCTAGAGTATGCAGTTCAGTTTTGGTCACCAATCCATGTCCTTGAGCTAGAGAGAGTCCAGAGAAGGGCAACAAAACTAACTAAGGCTAAATGTAAATGCGTTCATGCTGGAAGTGAGATTAAGAGGGGACATGATTTTGATGTACAAATAAACTTTTTACTGTAAACTTCATAACAAAGACTAGAGGCCACCACCTAAATTAGTGGAGAAAAGATTTAACCACAAAGGGTGTAGGGGCTTCTTTTCAGTGAGAATGGGTACATTTTGGAACTTGTTGCCACAAGCAGTGGTATCAGCAGAGAGTATTGAATCATGCACAAATCAATTAGATTCCTTCCTCAGAGACCATAACATACAGGGGTACAGATACTCTTAAAAATTAAGACCACACAGAGACTTATATACACACATGCACACACAACACACACAGACACAGAAAGGTTGAACTTGATGGACCTTGTGTCTTTATTCAACCTCAAATACTATGTATAGGTTTTTCCTTAATTTATTACTTAAAGTTCACCTGTGCCCAAACAAGCAATATCCATACATCCATAGCATTCAATAGTCCATCAGTTCATATACCTATCTGAGTATCCTTGGGGGCTGGTAATGTACACAATGTGGTAATCACATTACTAACTTTATACCTCCTACTTTACTCACAATTAAAACATGTCCATCAACACTTGGCAAATAGTCCAACCAAAGACACATGGGAAAGTGCACCTGATGTGGCTGGTTGATGTTGTATTGATGCATGTCATCTTTAATACATGTCATCAGAATGCTACTGTGTATCTCCATATTCCTCCCTTATATTCTGTATGTACATGACAAACATGTGTCTCCTATTTAGGGTGACAAGCTCTCACTGCCATTTTACTAAGACAGTCCATTGAGATTATTGATCACATCAAGTGTAAATACAGGGAAAGTGGAGAAGGAAGAAGGGCAAGGGTAAACACAGATACTGAAACAAAGCTTACCACCTTTTCCCCCTATGTGTGACAGAATAATATCCATAAGTAGACACAAATTCAAAAACAGTCTCAAATATCAAAGAGGTCTGAGAACTACCATCAATTACCAGTGAGGAATACTTTCCAACCACCATGACATAAAGACCCTCGATTGTAACCCCTGATGCATATAGGTGCAGGGTAGAGCATCTCTAAATCTAAAAATCGCTTTTTAAATCAATATTAGGTCAAAATTGCCCCTCCAAGCACTCACATTGAATGGGTGAATACTTTTTATGGGGACTTATTGTGACATGTAGCAAATTGGACTTCCACAGGACTTTTCTCATTGCCTGAGGCCATACAGTATTTCTAATCTGGATGAGTGGAAGAGGGAATTACCTGCTGTCAACTTCCTAAATGTGTTAGTCACCACTTTATTATCTTCTTTTATCATTTCCTCATCTAAAATATTGGATCATATAACCAGGTGAATGTGCAGATGAACTCCGATTTGGACCACATCTGGTCCAAATTTGAGCTCCTTTGAGCAAGAATCTGCTATGGGCACTTCCACCCTATCAGCTGCAGGCCAAGCATTTCCTGCTCTGCATCTACATGTAAACAAATGGGCGGGATGCTTGTGCTGATGTCATTTAACCACATAGCCATATTAGGTAATTGTCATCTAAAAAATATAGGCACATAGCCATATAAAGTGAATTACATCATTGCAGGGCGCCCCTTTACTTAGGTCAAGCAGCAGTTAGGGAATTTTCTGTCAGCAGATGATTAGGTGGGAGTAGCTCCTTCCAGGTCCAGAGGAGGTCAGGTTCAGAACGAACCTGAGCTCATCCCTATTCATCAGTATAAACTGAATCATAGGGGTTGATTTACTAACCTTATAAACACGCCACGAACAAGTATACACCTCTGTAGTGTGTTCCCTCCCAGCATGATCTATGGGTGGAATCTAGACACCTTTGTAGTGTGTACACACCCAGCAGGTGTGTTGTGCAAAGCCCTGCATGAATTGCAAGGTGATTGCGCTGCAATTGTGTTGCTTGAGTTGATGAATGCAGGAATGTAAATGCATGAGCTAACCATTTTTGTCTAAACTGTGAAGCAGCAATATATATGCATCATGTGCATGATTTTTCCATATATGGCATTAGTGGAAATATGCTTTTAGAGACTTGCATGCCGCTATTAGAGCGGCGTGTTGCCTATGGCGCATGCTACATGACACGCACGTACCTAAATACATACAAACGCGCCATAACGGCGTGAAAATGTGACACGTTGCTCGTGTTTGGTTGATAAACACGTTTTGCTGTGTAAAAATGCACACGCACCTGGTACGTGCATGTGTTTAGGTTAGTAAATCACCCCCATAGTGTAAATGAAGTTAGTAGGCCCATCCATATTCTTGTATAACCACTCCAATAGATTCCTGCAAGATTCCAATCCTACCCCATGTGGAATGGGCTTATACAGATCTACACGATCTTACTCCAGAATATACTTACCTTCAATCTCCACATGATGTAATCTCTCCGGGTTTTGCTTAGATTTTTGTAGGTATGATCTTAATTTCTTTATTACAGGTTGACATTTCCCATGCAAAACCAAACCTACCCCTGATATGATGGAGTGATCATGGGGGCTGTTTTGTTTTTTTAATTATCAGATTATTATAGACGGTTGGAATGATATAGTCTTTTAAAGCAAGGTGCAATGTTCCTCCCACATCATGATAGTACCCTCTATCACTCCCACCATTCATTTTTCAGATAGAGGAGTTCTTTCTCTAAGTCCCTGTAGTACCATACCTGCTTTGTTTTTTGTTCCAAACAATGTCCCATTTACATCTTAGCAGTTTAATTACTAAATTGCTATGTTACCTAAACCAAGATTTTACATTTTTAGTAAAGGCATCCACGTCCCTCTCATCTGATGATTTAAAAGTAATTCTATTCTCCTTTTCAAAATCAGCTCCAATTACAAGTTTTTAAAATTTTCATTGCATGTGATTTTTTTGCCCATGTGAATTAGGACCTTTGTGTTCCATGTTGCTCTCCTGAAAGAAATAAGGGAGAAAACTGGCCAGCTTAGAATTAGACTCAAAGCTGTAATTCCCCCAAAATCTCAAAGAAAGATAAAAACTGACTTTGTTTTGACTGTTGATAGTTCATTACATGTTTTATTGTTTTTTGGGGGCCTGGCATTGCCTTTAAAATGTACATTTACCGACATTGAATGATATTAATTTTATGACTTTTTTCCTTTTTAATTTTCTAGTTTTTCTAGTTTACTAAATGGTATTTGTAATGATTTGTATTCTTTGTTATCTTAGGCCCCAAGAGGTCGATGTTCTGCAGAATGTCATCCAGGGTTTAGAAAAGCTGTAAGGGAAGGGTATCACGTATGTTGTTATGACTGTGTTCCATGTTCAGAGGGAGAAATATCAACCCATTCTGGTAATCTTTATGTTCCTTTAAAACTTAAAGTGAATGTATTTCAGTTTATATTTTTTAAATAAACAAGAAGAGCTCTTTTTCCAGTGTGACCTGTGCAATGTGCTGCTATAGATATCAATTGCTCATTTTATTCTGCAGCTTCCCTGTTATATTGACACCAAAATACTATTTATGGTACAACGCATGGAGAAGTTATTAACAAATAACTTAATGCAGTTAAAATGCTTATTTACCGATTATGCTAACATCACAAAAAAGGGCATATTTATAAAGCAATAAATGCGACATTTACCAAACACTCACAGGTGGTTCAGTCCCTTTGTTTTAAAACACATTCACTAGGAAAATTAAACCCATGAAAGCAATGCAGGACAATCCAGGTACTTCCTACATCCTCAACCATTTAAAGCTAATGGCAAAACAAACCTGAACCTTAAGTGTTGCATACGCTTCCCAATTATGTGATAAATGTGATTGGCTGTCACAGTGATCACATGATCTGGAGCTTGTACTACCAGCTTCTGATTGTTATTGAGTGGGAGCAGTCAGTGACATCATGGTCACAGTACTCCGGATGTGTGATTGAGCACACTCCTAAACAGCAACACATATATGTGGCAGCAAGCATAAGGCTTCAACATATTTGTGTAAGGCAGGAAGGGGTCAAAGAGACCTCAGCCAGTCTCTAAATTTAGAAATATGCCATTTTCCTTCAAGAGAAGGGTTAGTATTCTCACATCTCTGCTGGTCCATGACTCATATCTACCCTTTGTTCTAGCACTGCAGCCTCCATCAGTCTCCTAGGCATTAGAAACTTTCAGAAGTGACAGATGCATGTGTCCTCCACTGCATGCTGGTACATTTATCCACCAGCTACATCACTGTTGATTTCTGTAGATCATAGGGATTGGAGGAAGAAATCATTGTATGTGGTGAGAGACTCAGGCATTCAGCATTCCCGAAAGTGAAGGAGGCTGCAGTGCTTGAATAGTGAGAAGGTTGGAGTCATTGGGCACTAGAGAGGTAAGTATCCTACATCCTCTCTTGCACTGAACTGGCATTTTTATTTGCTCAGAAATGTGACAGGGTCTTGAAACCTGATTTATACCATGTAGTCATGTATCCAGCCATCAGGGGGAGCTCTAGTTCCGATTTAAAATGCGAAGCATTGGGGTCTATTCACAAAGCTGCCGAGGGCAGCCGAGTGAATGACCGAACAGAAGTGAAGTGAGCCGAACACTGTTCGGCTATTCACTTCAGGCTGGTACGGCTGATTTCAGCCGTATATCGGCTGAAATCAGCCGTACATCGGCCTGCTTCGTGTGGATTCGGATCAGCCGAACATGCTCAGCATGTTCGGCTGACCCGAAGTGCAGAAGGAGTTCGACTCAGCCGATCCAACATCTGGATCGGCTGAGCCGAACCTCCGGCAGGCTTCACACTGCTGTTCGGGCTATTCTGAAAGATCCCGAACAGCAGTGAGAGAATAGCCGAATGCCGCCGAGCGGCATTTGGCTCGGCTGTTCTGCTCGGTCCCTCAGAGGCACCGAGCAGAACAGAAAAAGAGTGAAAAAAGTAGAAAAAAGTTAATAGAAAACGATTGTGCGGAGCTAGCAGTGACAGCTAGCTCCGCCCAATAGTTTCCTATTGTCCGGCGGCTCTGCTGCTGTAAAAAAATAAAAATTAAAAAAATTTAAAAAAAACCCCGGGCGCTCTGGGAGCCCCCCCGCTCCCGGCTCCCAAGAAGATAGACCCCGCTGTGTCTTTTTTTTCCTTTATTCTGACACGAGCATGTCAGAAAACAAGATGTCAGTAAAGGTCTGGTCCTGGGCACCCTCAGCAGAATATGGGGCAGTGCAGAGTCCTGGGGCCCCGCGCTACCGATGGGCTTCTCAGCAAGGGGCGGGTCCTGTGACTCACTGCTCCTCTCCCGTCCCCACTGCATCCCTACTAACAGGCGGTGGGAGAGGAGAAGTGTGTGTTTGCTGGCCATGAAGCTTGACAGGTGAGTCCGAATGAGGATCTGGGGGGTGGTACAAGTGTAACTGCACACTGTGTGTTGTTATTTCATTTAATTCGAAGAAGGGATTATAATAGGCAACATTACACTGTGTTGCCTATTATAATCTATTTCTCTGATTAAATGATTACAGACAGGGCCCCTGTTTTATCAAAGTTTGTGACTACATTAGAATGTCTGACCAGTCATGTGGTCACACATTTTAATGTAATCCCGCCCAGTTTTTTGGTGGTGGAATGTGTGACCACCAAAAGGTGAAGCATTCCAATGCTTTGTCGGCTATTCCAGGGCAAACCGGCATTGCAAATCGTATGTGCAGGAGAACCGATCTGTCCTGGTACAGCTGATCGGTCCTGAAATGTCACTTCTATCCAACTGTGAGTGAGGTGGACTGTGAGATCGCACTCACAAAGTCGGATAGAAGTAACATTTCAGGACTGATCAGCTGTACCGGGGCAGATCGGTTCTTCTGCACATACCATCTGCGATGCCGATCTGCCCTGGGACAGCTGAGAAAGCGTTGGAATGCTTCACCAATTGGCAGTCACACATTCCACCAGTGAAAAACTGGGCGGGATAACGTTAAAATGTGTGACCACGTCACCAGTCACACATTGTAATGTAGTCACAAACTTTGATAGAACACGCCATCAGTGGAGTACGGCCGGTACCCATGTGAGGGGTGGAAGAGGCCAGGCCCCAGCAGCAGGTAAGAGGAGTTGGGAGGAGGTCCAGGGAAAGGGACCCCAATGACCAACCCACCTGAGACCCTGCAGAGCCCACCATTGAGAGTCTCAGATGAGTTGTGCAGGAGCTATGGTGTGCTCTGCAGGGTCACTCCCAGATGGGCTCTGCTGGGTCTCAGGTAAGCCATGAGTCCAGTGCGTTACTAAGCCCTGATTTATTGGTGTGATCTGCTCCCACACACCCCCTTCCCTCTTGGGAGGGGGGACCAAGATGAAATCTTGCACAAGGGCCCTTTGCTCATTAGGTCCGCCACTGAGTAATAGAGGTATTGTCAAGTTAACTGACACATTCCAACACTAGTAAACCAGATCTGGGTGTCTAAGCTTCAATAAACTTTGGTCACAAGAAGGTTGGGTGTCAGCATTCATTGTACATTATGTACATGTTTCAGTATATTTTTCTTCTACAAATAGTGAAAACTGCCAGATGTGTCCTGAAGATCAATGGCCTAATGAGGCTAGAAATATTTGTGTTGCCAAATGTTATGAGTATTTGTCATATGAGAAGGATATTGTGGTTGTATTTTTTTCTGCATCTTCAGTCGTATGTTCCACTGCATCTCTCTGTATACTTGGAATATTTTTTTGGTTTCGGAGCACTCCTATAGTCAGAGCCAATAACAGGAACCTCAGCTTCATTCTGCTCTTCTCTCTCATGCTGAGTTTCCTTTCTGTGTTCCTGTTCCTTGGACATCCGGTGAATGTAACTTGTATGCTGCAACAAGTCTTCTTTGGAATTGTCTTCACAGTCTCCCTGTCTTCTATCCTAGCCAAAACCATCATGGTTTTCATTGCTTTTAAAGCCACCAGACCTGAAAGCTCCTGTAGGAAATGGGTGGGAATCAAACTTCCCAATACAGTCCTGTTGTTCTGCTCATTAATTCAGGTTATGATTGGTGTTTTCTGGATGTCCATCTCTCCACCATTTCAAGAGTATGACATGCACTCTTCTGCTGGGAAGATCATCATTCAGTGTAATGAAGGGTCAGTTATCGGGTTCTACTGTTTGTTGGGATATATGGGGCTTCTGGCAGCTGTGAGTTTTGTTCTGGCTTTCATGGTTAGGACATTACCAGACAGTTTTAATGAGGCCAAGTACATCACCTTCAGCATGCTGGTATTCTGCAGTGTCTGGATTGCCATGATCCCGGCCTATCTGAGCACCAGAGGAAAGTACACAGTAGCTGTGGAGATATTCGCCATACTGACCTCCAGTGCTGGAATATTAGTCTGTATATTTTTTCCAAAATTGTATATTCTACTTTTTAAACCTGAGCTGAACACAAGAAAATCCATCATGGCAGGAAGAATGATGTAAAATATTCCAATCTTAATACATGTATGCTGTATTTTCTCTGCTTGTAATTTTTTGAAAGGTTTATTATTATTATTATTATTGCACACATGATTGTAGTCATGTATTTTTTATTTTATATATTCTGACATCGATCGTGTCAGAATAAAGAAAAAAGGACACAACATTGTTTCTCTCCTTGGCGGCCGGGAGCAGGAGACTCCCGGGGCGCCAGGGAGCGTCCGAAGCTACGGCCAGATCCTTCGGCAGCTTCGTGAATAGACCCCTTAGTGTTCTTGGTAATTGAGCTTCTTTGCTTTATGCTTAAATAAATATGACATTGAAATGAAAGATGATTTTTAGGAACTGAATTAAAGGATAAATGCACTTTAAAACAAAGTGAACTTATCCTTTTTGTCCCCTTCACTTGACCTAATCTAACCCACCCTCACCCTCCTCTTATGCATATGTATCTTTATAGGATGGCTGTGGATATGCTATATGTTTACATTCATTGTCCTTTCCATGCCTGCATATTAGTCCCCTATAGCTTTCTCTGGGTTGTGCCCTAAGGTTGCAGACAGTCCTTAAGAAGACTATTGGGCTGTGTTGTGCAATTGTGGCCAGCATAGTGAAGACTTGCAGGGCTAGATGTAAACAAATAGTGAATCCGCAGCCATGGGATTAGGGTCGGGCAAAAGGACAATAATTATAAATTCTCTTTCGTTTAAAGTGCCCATTTTATTTAAGGGAAATTATATTATCAGAGATTAAGGGACCAAAAACTGTGCACATATAAGCTGCATTTTCCATTTCTATTTCAAGGTAAATGAAGTAAAAATAGTTATACTTTTTAATACAGGTTGTTGCTCCTCATTGTTGCTTATGATGATTGAAGGGAAAGGCCATAGGCAATCTACTGTATAAAATGGTATTATAATCATTGTTGCTTTTTCAAAAGTTTGCCTATACATGATATTTGTATTAGGATTCAAACCTTTAAATTCATCTGTGCCTTGCAGTGATTCATCTTTCAAAGCTTTCTAAGATGCCGGTTAGCTTCCCGATCTCTTTATAAGACTTCATGAGTAACTTATTTTTTGTAGTTTTGAACTCTGAGTTCCATGACTCCACCCTATTACATCATGTTTAAGCCATGCCTCTGATCTTTCTGTTTTGCAAATGTATGTGAACATTGCATTATCTGTTTTGGTGCTGCATTGCCATTATGCTTCCAATCTCAGCTGCTCATTTACTGATTTTTGGTTGCCTTCTCTTCATAACTCTCCACTTCATATCTGACCCCACTAGTTACAGTCACCAGCTAAATAGTGACCAGTGTATCTGCCATACTACTATTATTTCAGCTGCTAACTTTGTACTGATCATGGACGGCTCCTGATCTTCCCCCTTATCTACTATTCACTCAACTAGACTCTGATCCAGATTGTGATAGAATAATCAGGCTCCCAAATGGACCTCACTGGAACATGTGCTCTGATTACCATAAGACAACAAAATGCTAAATTGTTAGAGTTTGGTGTCACTTATCAACAATCATTTATTGGCTTAAAACCAAGGGCAAACTGGACCTTGAACTGGACCGGCGTGCATATATACCACAGTTCAAATTTTAGGGCATGGCAGACATAGCCTCCCACATCTGTCAGTGTTCGTGGCCTGTATCACATACAGGATAAGACTTCCAACTTCCATCAGATAAGATAAGGTATAGAAGTGATAACATCCCACAGTCCGTCATCTATTACAGCATCAACATCCCTCTCTCCCTTTTATAGTCTAGTCCACACATACAGCATACAACCAAGTCAAATATGTGGACACAGAAATGCATTGATCCATAAAAAATTAATCAGCTATACGAGGCATTGGGTTCGCAATCAGAGCATCAAAGAAATGGGTAATGGCCAGAAGCCTGACTGGTTTCACTAGTCACTGCTGGTTGCATCAGAGGTGTGGCCTGTAGAATCCCAACAGAAATTGATAACCCAGAGCCCTCATTGTAAAAGGGTGGGCTCCCAGCTGCCATATTTTCATTGTGTGTTGCAGCTTATATGAGAACATATAATTCTGTGTAGGGAGAGATGCAATACTATACAGTGCTATACTACTCATGCAGTGTTGGTCTACATTTTTTTTGTTCCCCC